CATGGACGCTAATGCATGGCTATTTAATTAAATGTTGCCAGATCACTGGGCCAAATAGGTAATCCAATAGCTCTGTAGGAGCCGTGTTAAATCCTGTTCCATCAAAGCCCGCTTGCCCCTGACAGCCCCTGTGATGTTTCCCTGGAACATCATGTCTACTTAGTCTGTCTCTTTAAAGACTGTGACATAATTTTATATTGAGTAACAATCTATTCATCTGCATTATCCGCAAACCACAAGCGCACGTTCAGCTGAAATTGACCTGAGCTATTTTTATATATATTTATATTCTTGCCTGCTCAGGTCTATAATAGCATAACCCATTAGAGTGGGTCCATTTAGGGTTTTGTTTAACTTTAAGTTAATCAGGAATTTACTCTGAGCAAGATGATTAGGTTCACTGCTCGTGAGATTCAATTGATAAATAATCTAAATATCACAACTTGAATATCAAACTCTAGACATCTGATAGGCTACTAAAGAGTGTCTGAAAACTTCTGTGTTCCTGTTTGATGCTAAATACACATTTTAAAGTTTGGCTCTCAAAATCTCTGCTTGAACGTTTCGAGAAAAAGAAAGGGTGTTTTTCTTTTGTCTTGCCCTGGTGCAGAAATGGCACAGATTAGGTTTTAAGTCAAGCTTTATGTTAAAGCTGAATTTGTTCCTGGTGGAAAGTGGATCTGTAGAGAATTTCTTTGCCTGGTTTTATGAATTGCCATACTTAGCCAGCTGTTTTGAGACACACTATGTTAATTTCTGTATACAAAACTGACTTCAACAAAGCGATCGAGTTCATACTGAGATTTGTGTAATTCAAGACTCCTAGTATAAATATCACATGACGTGAGTGTATGGTTATTGTCATAGCACATTGTTTCAAAGAATATTCCAATGTTCCTTCTTGATGAAAATATATTCAAGTCAAATAAACAAAATAGAAAATTATGTATGGTTAATTTACAACTTCAACTGGAGGGAATAAACTTACAGTATTACTATCACAAGAATAAATGCGCTTTTACATCTTGTGTGATTTTCACTTTGCATGGGTGAAATGGCCTTTCAGTGCCAGTTAATTGTTCAGTTGTGTTACTGCCAGCTGCAACAGGAATTACATCGCAAATAAATAAATGCTCACAGTCCATAAAAGATTTGCTGGTCCGTCTGCACTACCTAAACAGGATGCTGAACAACAATTCCTCACTTTGTTTGACTTCATTTGGTATTGTGAAGCCTTCTTCCTAACAGATGAATTAAATGGCTGCAAGCGTTGCCATTTTTCCCAGCACTTTATTTGGTCAGTCCCATTGTTTTCATCTGCATCCCATTTGAAATTATACACAGAGAATGGGTCTTTGGTTATGAAGTGGTTCATACTCACTCTCATAGGATAAATCTGAGCGATAGGCTGCTTTAATTGGTCTGTTTGAGCAAGTTTTAGGCAGGTTTCTGTCTCACTTTCACTCCATTTCACACCTTTGAAGTCTCTCTTTCATCTTCTTGCTCTCCCCTGATGTTGCTTGTCTTTTGTCTGATGATGTGCGCACATTTCTCTTTCGCAGCACTAATATATAACAAAGGCAAACCTTTAGAGAGCTACCTTATCTTTGTGTTCTCTCGCTCTCTTCACCTCCTTTCATGAGTGCTTCGGAGTTTGATTCAACATTCATTGACATTTTCTCAAACACACTACCACTCTCTGTCTCTCTTACGGGCTCAGATACATATTCAATATGTCATCTTCAGTGGAGACAGCGAACTTGCATGCTTCAGGTTTCACAATAAAACAACTTAAGTGTAGATGTGGTGCCTCTGTAATGGGTAGACTGTTCGGAGATGACTGTTCAGCATTACTGTCTGTACAGTGGTAAATATAGCAACAGGTCATGAAGCTCAGATATACACCACAGACAGCTCAAGGGATGAGCCTGACCCTCAAAATGCTGCTTCACTTGTCTTATCGTCAACGCAGGGTTAAATGCTTGAAGTTTACAGGGGTTCAAATGGCTCTCGGTATCATTTCTAGGCCATAAAGTGCGGAGATACAGCGTGAACCTCCCACTCCGGTGAGTCACACATCTGCGCATCTTAAAGATCACTGCAGAACGGAGAGAGGAAAGGAAAGAGACGAAGGAGAGGAAGAGGGAGGAATGTGGAGCCGGCACAGAAAGACATGGAGCCAGTGTGGTGTGAAGCCTGTTGACTGAAGAGAGTGTGTGTGTGGGGGGACGATTGCTCGCTCCATCATTAATCTAACAAGTACTTCAGTGTTCCCGTCCTCTTGTCTCCTTGAGTACTTGTAGATTGATAAGACCTAACACTGAGATATAGAGAATAAAAGAAAGAAAAAGAGGACGTTTGCACCTTTAAAATCCAAATGTCAATCAAGTTTAAGTCATTGGACACAACGTTTTGAATTCCTAAAATAATGCTAAAAGAAAATTGTGTGTCAATTTGCTGCAATGGTAAGTTACTGTAAAACATTTGAGTTTTTACAGAACTGGATAAAGCCATTTACTGTAAACAATGTCATTTTCTGTAAATTGACAGTAAAATGTAAGTAATTTCAGCTGTATAATCGGGACGATAAGCTGTGACTACATTACAGTAATGTCTTGTATATTTAACAGATTAACTGTAATAGTGTGTCTTCTTCAGGCACTCGGCATTAATAAATGATGCTGTTGCATTTTTTTTTTTACTGCTTGCTGATTTGTTGCGGTTGTTTTTGTGGCTCATTTTTTTAATGTTCTGGGTTTATCCTAATATAAAAATGATTTGTTTATTGCCACCATTGTCATGTTTTGTGTTATGGCTGAGTGCTAATGTCTGGTTTTCAAGACTACTATAAAAAAAATCTGGCATTGCATATTTTAAAGCATAATTTGGTAGCTCTTCTAATATTGGGAAGGACTTGATAAAAAAATGATAACATCATATTGTTCACCAAATTTATCAGTGTCAGCAAATGTATTCATTTGAAACACTTTTGCACAGGAAGATACTTTACAGCTGTACTGGATCCCCTGAACACTAATCGCCCTAATGATTAAACAATTATTGTTAATAAAACAACAAAACTAAATAGAACCAAATCTCTATGCATTTGGCAGCAACACACAGCACATTCGAGTTTTAGCTATTATTATTATTATGTGTTCCCTGCTCTAACAATTGAGCCAGAGGAAAAGTCAGTTCAACTGTTCTGATAAGTCCCCATGCTTGCCTAAACATGTTCATGTAGTGGCTAATGGGTTTTCCCCCATTGTGGGATCCTACAAAGCAAGGAAATGTACTTATTTTTTGTTTTTATGAAGTAATTAATCGTGTTATGAGAGACTGATTTCCCTGTACAGTTCTAAACGTCGCGTTTTATTTTCTAAAACAGCTCTTGGTTTGAACCTGTAATCTTTGGACTATATGGACAATCTGAAGTTCACTGTTGGCATCCCATTAGTCACTGCATTTTACCATGCTTCTACAATACAGCATCTTTCAAGGCCGGGCAGCAGCTCGAGGAACACATTTCATAATATAATGACATATTGTAATTTCAGAATTTATGTTGTTATTGTCATATTTACTGTGCAATTTGTTAAAGTGCTTTTTGGCAGTATAGGTCTCTAATTTAATTCACTTAATCTTCAAATCACTTTTCTAGCTCAAGTTCAAGGTCATAGCCTAGCATGGTGACTCTCACTTACTAAGAAAACTGCTGTGCGTTTGTAGAAGAAAGGAGAAGAAAAAATGATATCCAATGCTCAATGTCCAAAAACGCTGATAAATGTATCCGCTTATTTTGCTAATTTTGAATAGCCACCTTTCGCCCTCTGTCCTGTACAATCCCCATGCATTCACAAGTTTGTCTGAACTAGACAGTAACAGGAATCAATAATTCAATAGCGCTGGCGTCCGAGTCCACCCCGCGCTGGAGACACAAGCCCTCTTTACACACGCGTTTGTTAAAGCAGGATTAATTAATAGGCCAAAACATTGTGCTTTGTATCCAGACAGTAACCCGAGCAGACAGGTTATTCGCGATAAGAGATGGCGTTTGGTATTTATCCAGTTCCCAAGAGAACCGCTTTAGATCTCGACAGAAGACTGCGAGTGATGTGCCATTCAGAAAGGTACAGTCCATTTTACACATGCAAATACAAGTCAATATGTGATATTAGTATTTAATTTATTAATTTTAAATTAATTTATTACATTTGATTAATTTATTAATTTATTTATCACCATTAGTTTGGCTTTGGAAACAAATAAAATGAACAAAAAAATATTTATATTAAAATATTTATTCCTTTAATTCTTTTTTGGTTTCCTTTTTTTTTTCTAAAGTGATTTTTCCACTGTATACTCTTAAAAATAAAGGTTCCAAAATGTTTTTTTTTTTCCCCACCGTGATGTCATAGAAGAACCATTTTTGGTTCCACGAAGAACCTTTTAGTAAACCGCTCTTAAAAGAATAATCTTTTTCCTTAGTGTGAAGATCCTTTGAATAATCCAAACAACATTTTTCCACTTTAAAGAACATTTTGTGGAACGTAAAGCCCGTTAAAGGCTCTTCATGGAACCATCAATGCCAATAAAGAAGCTTTATTTTTAAGAGTGTAGAATAAGTGTTTGCTATAACGGTTTGCCATATATTTCACATCCAGAACTGAGAGAGGTCCGTGTGATTTTATGACAAATACTTTCCCCCAATATATGTAAAATGTGTATTTACAAATTCATATATGGGCTAATTGATTTTTGACAACATTTTAAAATAATCTGCATAATATAATGCTTAAGATACACAACAGAATCATCCAAACAAAACAGAAACGGGTCGATTTTTAATTAGGCTATTTACTATTTATAATTTATCATTTAAAAGACACCGCCAGCGTTAGTCCAATTCTACAAGTGCAAACGTCTGTTTAATCGTATCCATTACATTAAAAATAAAATAAAACGAATAGGCTACGTATATAGTATGATGACACAGATGCTACAGTTTTTGACATTTATTTTATGAATCGAAAACACGGTGTTTAGGTGAGCTCACGTTTCACAGTCATGATCAAATCAGAGATATCATAAAAATGAGTGCCCGCAGTCGATGCTTTTATAACCCTTATAAAACATACATTTAGATTCACATGGTTTTACACACTGAGAAAGAGATGAAGGGAAAAAAACAGCAATGAAAAATCCAGAGTGCTCCCACAATGCCTTGATGAAGCATAAAACAACCAAAATCATTTTTGTTGGTATTAACATAGGTATTTTACATGTGCCCGTACCATATCAATATTAGTCTATTACCTGAATTTGATTTATACACCGAGAATAAAAGCCTGATGTGTGTTCATATGAATTGGGCATCAATGCAATTGAAACTCTCCATTGAATAATTACCTGATAGTTGATTATTATATTCACAATACACTCAGTAATTATTAATAAGTGAAGGAATGATCGTCATTTCATTTAATGTTCATTTATTTTGCTTCAGAAACCAAAGAGCAAAAACTTGAACTTAAATCGTGTGTTATTATCCGTGAGGACAGAAACGCATGTTCCACACTGGAGTTTTCATGTTTGGCAACAAAAGTGATTTCTGTAATATTTCACAAATATCCACAGAGAAACTTTGTTTCAAATAAAACGAGGCCAGCCTCTTTATTTTCATTATTTTCTAATAACGTAGAATTAAAGCAGAAATGTTGGCGTTGTCACACAAACAGCCGAACAATCGTCCCAGCTGCTTTATATCATTATATTCAGATTCAGCTTCTTCTGCAAAAGTTCAGTAAAAGTTCGACATTTTGTAGTTGTTCCATCCTTCCATCCGTGAAAAGATCCACGTAAAGTTGTCCACTTCACAGTTTGTGTTCTTATAAATAGCCTATCCTTTTTTCCCCTCGCGTGTCCTCCTTCACAAGAAAACATAAATAAAGTGTTTTTCTGTTGTTCACTTCAACAAGCCACCGTTGCGCGCGACGCTTTGTTTGTGACGTCACAGTCCCAGCGCCGCGGCGTGTTTTTTCGCCTTCAGTCTCAGATCCGCGATGCTCGAGTTTTTGTTGGTGGTTTTCGCGGCCGCTGCCGCCGCGACCACTGAAGCTGCTGACGCGGATTCCGCCGCGAGCGTGGCGAGCGGCAGCCCGAACGGCGGCGCGGGAAACATCATGTATGGCGCGTGCGCCGCCAGGTGCGAGTGCAGGTGATGGTGCGCGTGGGCCACGGCGCTGTCCAGCTGCAGCTGAGCCTGCACCTGAAAGGAGAAGGGCGGCACGTTGAGATGACTATCCTATGGACGCACGGGTGGGAAGAGAGGGGAGAAACACATTAACTTAAGAGAGACTCTATGCAGAGCTGTTACTGGGCACTGGATCAATTGCATTTAGGCTATTTATCATAATAAAAATAAAAAAAATCATTCGGACACTTGCATTCCATTGTTTTGGTAACTATGTGCTCCCCTGAATACGATTCAAATCCATAAAGCAAACAGACAAATTCACAAATGTCTTCTCGTCTTTATGTAATAACATATTTATAGGCTATATTCTTCGACAAATTTCTCTCTTATGCTGACATTGCAATATAGATATAGCAATAACAAATGTGTGTGAGCAGAGCGCCATAAAGGATCCACCACACACACTGTCTAAAGTCTTTGGGACCCTCATGTGTTCAGGGTAACTTGCCTGCTGGAATGGCATGCGCAGAGCTCCCACGTTGACATATGGAGCGACGCGACACGCTTCAAACTGACTCGCCGCTCCGATGAGAACCCCTGGAAAATAGTGACATCGAGTTTTCTTTACACGCCACTTTAGCTGGGCAAACGAGAGACTGCACGAACGACTAGATTTTATATTTCACAGTAAATACACATTAAAACATTGTAGGCACAACGTAGATTATAGCCTATTAAAATATTAAATAAACGTATTAAAATATATGAAATAAAAGTAGGCTGTATAAAAAGTCAATTGTATTTAAAAATGTATTAAAACAAAACAGAAAAGCAAAATAAATTGTTGATTTGTTGGTTTATTGTGTTTAAATTCAGCGCACCTTTATGTAACTGGTTTTCCTGCTTTCTGCATTTGGCCCGTCGGTTCTGAAACCAAACCTGAAAGCAGAAGACATTGATTGACAGCTGTTGGTGAGGGCATGTGTACATCCTCCCAAAACGACAACAGTCTCAGTAAAACTCTGTTTCCCCGAGGAGGACCTTCTAAAATATTCATAATGCGTAACCGCACATTTTAATTATTATTATATCTTTATAACGAGCGGCGAGGCCAACTAACTAACCACAAAAACAAACAGATTTGTTCAAATGGTAAACAATCGGAAAGAAACAGAATCTTGATGTAATGCATTTGAAATAGTGCCATAAAATATCGTCTTTCTCCAATGGCTGGATCTATCCAGGGATTAGAGTCCCAGAAGAAGCGAACTGATCCCTTCACAGCATGGGACGATTTAATGTCAGGGGTGGGCAAAAATTGGCACATTAATTGTCTATATCCGAAAGAAAGTTTGCTACATTTTTTGTTTTTGTCTGTTGTTGCCCATATAGCCATGCCACGGGCATTAGAGATTTGGAAATGATTGTGTTATGCATCTGTTTTGAATCACGCGCACTTTCATTGCATTGTTTATTAATTGTGTTTCACCATAACAACGCAGCGATCGACTTTGCATGCATAATATTTCTGCTGTAAGTGAAAGTGGAAACACGATTATAAATAATGAAATGGCCTGGACATTATGACTTCATCCGTTAAAATGGTGTATATGCTTTGAGCCAGTGGTGTGGCCTTGTCTGAGAATACTGAATATGAAAAGAGCATCAGATCTTTATTTGGGTAAAAATGATAGATAATTTATGTAAATCCGCAGGCCTTGCTTGGGACAATGCCTTTTGGTAAGATCCCAAAGAGAGACGATGGTTTAACTTTTTCCAGGGAGGTCTTTTGAGCCCATTTTTAAAAAGGACCAATGTATTCAAAGAGTGAATTTTATATCCCCACCCAAGGAATGAATAGATAAAAGAGAATGAAATAAGATATTGTTTTTTTTTCTTCCCTGATCAATCACAGCAGAGCCAATGTCTATGTTGAATGTCATTATTCGGCTCGGTCGCTCGTCTCTTGTTACACATATATTATGTTTCTGTGCAGATGGTCTTCCCCATCCTAAAAAGCGCGCTACAGATGTTGCCTGCAGGGCCAATGCGCGCGAACCCCGAATCAGTGCTGTTCATTGTTTTCTTCATTATAGCACAGCGCGTTTATTTAAGCGGATTATTAGCACTTTTATTTCCAACAATTTCATCCCACCGTTCGACACATATCCTATGAGCTGATATCTATTTTACATTTGTAAACATGAACTACAATATCGCCGCAAAGAGTGTCCATGTAACATTTTAAACATTAAAGACCAAGCTAGCTCTTTTTATTCATCGATCCTTCAAATTCCATTTACATTTTTAATTCTTAAATAATTAAATAATTAAAAACCCGCTACATCACAGAGCAGTGTTAAAGTTGCCGTGTCATTACATTTAATTCCTGGGTATTTATGCCTAATGACACAGCTGCTATATATATATAAGGTTACACTTTTTTTTAATGTGTCCCTGTTACAGTGTAGCCTAATTATACATTTAAGCCTACTGAGTAATAATAATTAACTAGCCTATAGTAATATGTACTATTATAGGGTTAGGATTGGGGTGTTTGTTACATGTAATTATGTATAATTTATAATTATTACTACAGTATGCTAACATGTGTAACACGGACACTAAAATAAAGTGTTACCATTTATATATATATATATATATAATATAGGCTATATATAAAAAATATATTTATTTATTAGCAGGTCATAATTTTGCACTTAATATGTAATTGCATTTAGCCTGTTACGATCAACATTAGCACTAATCGAAATGATTTCGTCTCTCGCGATGGAAACCATCACTGCCACTACATGCGCACATGACAGCACACACACACACACACACACATATGAAGTGCCTCTCCATACACACCTTGCACATGACAGCACACACACACACACACACACACACACAGGGCTGACCTGCACCCTGGCCTCCGACAGCCCGAGTCTCTGGCTCAGCTCCTCTCTCATGAACGCGTCCGGATAGTGTGTTTCGTCGAACAGTCTCTCCAGCTCATTCAGCTGCTCAAGGGTAAAGTTAGTCCGACTCCTTCTCTGCTTGATTTTAGTCTGTGTCTCATCCTCCAGCGGCTTACAATCCTCTTTGCGTTCTTTCATATCTGTGTTCCCTGAAAGCAGAAATGAACGCTTGATCCAGGGATGTGAAGTGATCGAGGGCAGTATTTGCCCACTGATGTCGGTCACGGATGTTTTGTCCTACACACAGCTCTTTAATTATTTACACACTATACATATGCATGGAGTTTCTCTCTTTGCACCGGATGCTTATGACAGGAATATTATCCTTTTGCGCGTTAAAATGAACAACCTGGCAAAACGGGTCAGTGTTACGAAAATGAAATCAATAAAGACAACAATTAACGTATAGCTGAATGAAAACCCCTGCTGTCAAAATAATAATTAACCTCTATTCAAATGTGGAAATCCAAAACAACATGTTCACAATTATAGCTAAAGTAAGTAGGCTATACTTTTTATCGAAATGATAGGCTAATTCATATGATTATTATTTGATTATTATTATGCTATTATGTTATTGTGGCTGTATGTTCTACTGATATTATTTTAAGTTTCAGACTTGATGAATTATAGGCCTTTATTGTGTCTCATACAAAACGCGTATTGATTTATAATAAACTGCACATTCTTTGTTTGTTTTTTACAGTCATTTCTTTTTCTGTTTAGCAGTAGTTTACAGAAGCAGGCTGTACGGGTATATTTAGCATCAGTCTAGATTGCTATCTAAAGAATAATCTGTAATTCTTCCAAGCCTAGCTACAAACAATATTTACAAACAATATTAATTCAAATATAGGCCCACATGCAACGATCCAATACAATACAGCGCTCAATTTTATCACTTGAGAACTTTTGATTTATTCTCGGCACTTTTGTTTTTCAGGCTCCAGTCATATAATGACAGTGATGCCTGTCAAATTATTAGGTGATTGTCATGCTTCGTGTAGTTTGGATTAAATCAATGTAACTTTAAAATAAATAAAAAATACATATAGCCTATAGGCTATCGAAAGCGAAATTATAAACCTTAAAATACAGAGATAGGCCTATGAAAAAGATCTAGCGTGATTACATGATTTTGCTGATGAATGTCACAGAAAGCAGCCTCACCGTCTGTAAGTTTGGGACTGCTCGAGTCTCTGCTCCTCTCGGACGCGAGCATGTCCGAGTCTCTGGCCGGCGACGAGCGCACGGAGCTCCGCGTGATACTGTTCCCCTCCTCGCGCCCCGGCTCCACCGACAGGCTCTCCCTGTTCCTCCCCGACCCGGTCTCCAGCACCTCCCGGTACGTGATCACTTCCTTCTTTTCCTTCACTTTCTGATCAAACGACTTGGAGACAAACGCGGTAAGTTCTTCCATCACTGCACCCAAGAAGAAGAAGAAGAAAAAACACACTCTTCCCTTTAGATCCTCAGCAGTCTACCATATAAGACATCAACAGTGCTCTCTCTCTTTCTCTCTCTCTCTATCGGCCTGAATGCGAGATGATGCGAGGAGATCTTTCACAATTCCTCTTGTTGCGGACTGTACAGACTTGCTGCCGATTCACTATTGAAGTCACACTATTTATACTTAGCGAAGCGTCTCTGCCCCTTGATCCGCGCGCGTTACCTTCCCTCTCCACGAGCCCCTTCCTTCCCACAGAGAGGGGGGGGGGGCCTTATCTGTCCTTCAGATCCACATCACCCGTCCGTGCTTGCTATTGGCTAAGATTGACAAGAGGAGCAAATTAATGTCATTAAGCTGGACTGGCTAGAGTTTGGAAACACCAGGCGTGATGATGATGATGATGATGATGATGGTCTGAAACTACTGTAAAGGGCACACCGTGGACATCTTATTCCGCAACTCTTTGATCTGAGCTGGAAGACGAGAAGAGCAAAGAGAAATATGCACTTTGTGATCATGGAAGTGACACACACACATCGTTAAGAATTGCATTTTGGCCCGCAATGCTCTTAGAAGAGAAATCTCATCTCCTCTTCACAGAAAACAGCTGCAGGCTTTTTGCCGGATAATTAACAGTCTGTTTTATACAATTGATAATTAATGTAATGATATTATGAATGAGAGTCGTCTTGCATAATTAACGTCTTTTTTAGTGATAGGCTAGTTGTGAATTTAATGATAATATGAAGAACGAACACCTTGAATCGGAATCATTTAAAGAGAATCCAAATGTCCAATTTGAACAATTTACAGGAGTAGCCTAAAGGCTTTTACATGTTCCTGGTCCTGGTCTCGCAGCAGCTTTATTAAATAGCCTCGTGGTCGAAGAGCTTACAAAGTGCTGTATTTACGTTTATTGTTTATTCACAACGTCGCACAGCATTAAAGAGATATTTAGCCTATTAACAAAAAACAACTTTGTATTAATATTTCAGCTATCAAAGGATCTGTTTGATGAATTGCAATTTTATTCTATGCTGCTTTATTGCTATTTAAATAAACAAACTTTGTAAAGTTATTGCATATTTGCATAACAATTGTAAAGCGAAAAAAACAAAAAGTATGGTAAATAACGCGGTAAATGAGATACAAACCTACACGCCTTTAATTGGCAAATCACAGAATTGTCATCACCTCAACTTTAATAATTACCTCACACAAAAATATTGATCTTGTAGGCTATATTCTTACTTCATATAACACTATTCCACGCATTCGATATTATTCAAAACGCAGCAAAAAATAAATGATTTAAGCATTTCACCCTTACACGAAGATAGGCCAATAGCCAAATAATAATAATAGGCAACTTTTCCTAAAATTATAATAGGCTACATTTTTTTAAATTAGCCTAAACTAGCCTAAATGTTAAGTAGCGTCCTATGCCTATCAGTGTGTGTAGGCTATCTAAAAGCGTGCAGTTTTGAGATTAATCGTACATTGTTGTAATCTGTTGGCTTACAGGTCGAGTGAACACATAACCTGCAATATGATTAGGCTAATCTTCAAATCTTTATTTTGGTGTGAGCGTTTGTTTCTTCAAAAGGGACTGAACTATTTAAATACTATCCAGTTTGACTTTATTTAAAAAGCATTTTAGTCGAGCTTTTACCTTCAACATTTGAGACAAACCATCTTTACCTTCACCAATAATTTTTTTAAAAATAATTTGTCTGTCTATATATATGTCCATTGACAGTTGGGCTATAAATTGTGATTTTCTTATTTTGTCTTGCGACAGAAAAGCCTTGTCCATAATAGCCTACATTCCGACAAAATATTAGCCAAAATATTTAACGTTACCTGATCACAAAATTTACGGGCTGTTTCTCTTTTTTTTAAACAAAACATTTCACTCATCCTGCAATTTCTCAACAAACACAATTACAAATAGGTCTTGATCGTGTATCTTATGACGACCTTGTCGCTGAGAAAAAAAAAATGTTGTAAGCTATTACCTTGTTTTATACATGGTTTTATACAGTCTATATTACGCTTATCTTGCGCTTTCCTGGCAAGAGGGTGAAAGCGACTGACGATCGGGTTTGATTTGTAATGCCTGCCGGCTGCGCGCGCATCGATGATCTCAGGATTGCTTACTTTAGTCTGTTGATCGGCTCATGGCGCTGCTCTGTCAGTCGCTGTAATGACACAATAGGAGTGTGTATCGTTGCCTAGGTAAGAGTATGAATATAGATATAAACATCAGTTATTTTCCATATAAAAGTAAAAATATATTAGCAGACGCGCTATTTGTGTGTTGTGTAACGTGTGTTAGAGAAAGCGCCTGGAAATGTGAAAGAAATCGAGCTAGTAAGACTGACAACATTCGGCATTGAAGTGTTTAGCATGTATCGTTACACAGACAGACATGTAAAGGGACGCGGTTTTCATATTCGCATTTGTCCTTTAAAACCATACCTGGCAGCGTTTCTAACGCTAGTTTCGCCTAGTTTTAAGCTTATGTTTGTGTTTTAGTACAGCCTTAGACCTTATGAACGCTAGCAAATTCGTCTTTAACACATTTCTCTCCGTGGGACATACCGACAGTCAATGCAGATAAATAATCATGTGTTTAATCGCTCTTCTCAGCTCATATTACTACTTCAAATAAGAGGAATTAAGAATTTTGTGTTAGATTAAATGAGTGTACTTTTTAATTTTAATTCAGAATGGGGTCTTCACAGCTCTGTAAACTTAGTACATTTAAGTTTCATCCTTGTGCTTGAGCTACTGAACCACAGTAACAGCATGTAGTAGTAGTAGTGGGAAGAAAAACAAAAACATTTTTGATATCTGAACATCTGATAAACATTTTTGTGTCCTACCATCATCAACACAATTTCCCTCTCCATCTCCCCATTTAACCCAGTGACCGGAGTGAACATGGGCCGCCACTCCTCAGACAGTGAGGACAACAGTCGAAGCCGGAGGAAGAGGAGAACGAAACAGCGCTCTTCCTCCTCCAGCTCCACTGAAAGCAGAGTGACCAGCCGCAGCAAACACTCCCGGAGACGCACTCGCTCCAGAGACCGAAACAGAGTCACAGACAGGAGGTGAAGAATGAGATAAAAAGTTTCTCCCTGTAATCTTTCATCAAAATGTAATAACTTGTTCTTCCTCTGAAACCATTTTCTCGTTCGCCTGACATCACAAGCCCTCCTATTTCTCACCCGGGACCAAGCACCTGTCATATACAATTTCTAATAGCCTATACCTGGAAAGAGTTATTCCATTAGCATCCCCGTTTATGTGAATGGCAGTTGCTCGGCTGGCACACTGATCCCGGGAAAAGTGCACGTGTTCCAAAAAAAACGGCCAATGTGACTGATCGCTCGGACACTGCAGCGTTGATCGGCTTGTGTGACCATGAGCTTTTACAGAGTTAGCGGTTGCTCCAGGCTAGTACATGAGGCATGAGGTGAACAACAGCACATTACAGCACAGAATTGTCTCAGTTTAGGGATCTAGACGTTTGGACCAAAGCTGGGTGCAACACATTCTGTTATTGCACTCATACTATCTGCACTCGTACATTCTGTAACTGAACATGTGCCCCAAACAAACAGACACGTGCAGTTTCTTGAACCCAGACGTTGCTTTATGCAGTCACTTAGCACTGTCTGCCTGAGCTCAATTATTCATGACGCTTGCTCTGCTGCCATTATGTACGTGATGGGAAAGAGCTGCTCTCACTGAAAGAAGGATGTCTGTGGAGGTCAAGGAGCTCAATAGAGTGCTGTTGATCAGCCATTGTTCGCATTATCCACACATACATCTGTAGATCTGTTTCGCTCTTTTTAAGTGGCCTGATCTATGTAATTATGCAGACGTTCATGTCCTCATTAACCTCACCTGAAGAGTGTGAACTGCTGTGCCTTCAGCATCGCTCTGTTTGTGATCCCCGGGTATCTGTCATAGTCTGACCAATGGCAGTGTGTGCGAGTGCTGGTTGAACAACTCTTTTGGTTGTGGATTTCGAAAACCTTTAGAGAGGACATTTCATGACTCTAAAAAATTAATATGACGTACCCCCATTATGTAAAAAGTATTTTACACCTGGGATCTTAAACACATTTTCAAGGTAAAACCCAAACATCATGAATTATTAATTCAGTGTTTGAAGGGTTGTCACCACTTTTTACAGTCTGATCTAAACTTGCCTTATATAGACAGTGAAGAAGTTGTTAAAATATTTTTAATAAGAAATAATAAAAGACGATGCCAAATTACTTATGTTTTCTGTTCAAGTATTTCATTTCTTTAATGAGGCTTTTTTCTTCACTATGATGTCGGGAAAAAAAAAACCCGACATGAATTTCAATAAAAAATTAAACCCTGCTAATCAAACAAAAGGTGTATTTGCTCTTTAATGTCTTTCTGAATAAATGAATAGGTTCTGTGGACGTTGACCCACATGCTGTGTGGGTTATGCATTTCTAAAGCAGCACAAACGTTCACTTTGTCCTCAAATGCTGACACAATCACGGAGAGAGACGGCCTGATGCCTGAGCCGGCCGGGTACCATCCCATGCAGAAATGCATAATAAATTTAATTATGGTTTTTAGATAAACATTTTATTTATTCATGATGTGGGGAATGGGCTCGCTCTTTTGATTTAGCTTTTGAAAGTGCCTCTAAGAAGTCCTGGTCCATCAGCTGGAGTAGAGAAGAGGGAAGTTGACACAAGCTCATCGGAGGGAAGGAGGAGAGAGAAATAGAGTTCATTAGTTAAAATAATGCAGGGAGACTGGTCTTTATCCGTGATGTCAGCCTTTCTAAACAGCGCAGAGAGTCATACTGGCGGACGGCTCGAAGCTCAAGACTTTAAACTCTGCTGGGATTATCTGTTTGTCCAAGCAATGGTGGGTGGGCCAGTGTTCATGAAACCTATTTCAAAACGAAACTCTTGAAGCATCTTATACTGACACCTGACTGTCATGAAAAACTTTTGTGATGAGCATTGAACATCTAGATGAGCAGAGAGTGTACTCTGTGGCTGTGTGTGTGTGTGTCTGATGGACTCTGTCACTGGTGTTTCAGACGCAGAAAGCGCTCCAACAGCAGCTCTTCCAGAGGGTCCGTTCACAGGAGGCGGAGCCGAAGCGCAGATAAGGGGCGGAGCCACAGGTCACACAGATCTCAATCCCGCAGTCGAAATAGGAGGTAAGGACGAGCACACTGATTAATATAAATAGTTATGGTAATAATTGTTCCATAATGCTGGTGGAATGAATGTGAGCCGGCGACTTCAGGTGAAACTCGAAAATTAGAATATCGTGCAAAAGTTCATTTATTTCAGTAATGTATATAGACTCATTACATTCAAAGTGAGATGTTTCAAGCGTTTATTTGTTATATAATTTTGATGATTATGGTTTACAGCTTATAAAAAACCTAAATTCAAAATTAGAATATTGTGAAAAGGTTTTCAGAAGCTGTAAGCCATAATCATCAAAATTATAACTTGAAATATCTCACTTTGAATGTAATTTATTTATTTATTTATTAGGATCCCCATTAGCTGATGCAACAAGATACATCCGCTACTCTTCCTGGGGTCCACACAAAATACATAACACGAATAAAACGCACTACACAGATTAACATATTACAAAATATACACAACCAATGCACAATCATACACTAAAACAACAAATTCTCATGGAATACAAATATACATACACTACCGTTCAAAAGTTTGGGGTCAGTGAGAATTTTATTTTTTATTTTTTGGAGGAAAGAAATCAATACTTTTATTTATCAAGGAATAATTAATTTGATCGAAAGTGACAGTAAAGACATTTATAATGTTACAAAAGTCTTTTGAACTTCCTATTCATCAAAGAACCCTAAAAAAAAAAAAAAAAAAAACTGTACAACTGACAGACCAACAACTGTTTCAACATTGATAATAATAATAAATGTTTCTTGAGCATCAAATCCTCATATTATACTGATTTGTGAAGGATCATTTGACACTGAAGACACTGACACTGGTGATGCTGAAAATTCAGCTTTGATCACAGGAATAAATTACACTTTACTATATATTCACACAGAAAACAGCTGATTTACACTGGAATAATATTTAATACTATAACTGATTTTTGTTGTATTTTTAATCAAATAAGCGCAGCCATGGTTAGCAGAAGAGAATTCTTTTAAAAGTATTTAAAATCGTACCGACCCCAAACTTTTGAACGGTAGTGTATGTACACATATATATACACATACATACATACACACACCCATACGTACAGACACACACACACATGATATGCTCTATCCACTAATATAAGCTAACATAAAAAATTCCTTTACTTGTTTTTTAAAACCAATATTATTTTGAGTTTTAACAATATGACCTGGAAGAGAGTTCCATTCAACCATAGCTCTATACAGCACTGTACGTTGTTTTGATGTAATGAGTCTGTATAATATTATCAGTTTCACATTTTAAGTTAAATTACTGAAATAAATGAACTTTTGCACCATATTCTAATTTTTCGAGTTTCACCTGTATATACACGTCAGTCATGCAAAGCAGGGTGTTTGCTGAGGCAAGAATGAAGTATTACACCTCATTCTGCACTGTTTGTGCTGGGCACGTGAATCGTATTTATGATTTTCAACCGGTGGATGATAAAAACAGGCCAAAAATTTTAATATCTACCAGAATCTCATACTTTTTTCCTAAAATGTAAAATTTTCTTTGCAAGGAAAAAATATCACTTTTTATCAGCTAAAATCTAAACATGTTGGCCCCATCATCATCTTCATCTTCATCAGCAGCAGCAACAGTGATTTTCTGCCCCCTCCTCCTCCTCCTCCTCCTCATTCGGGCTCAAATGGTAACATGTGCTTGGCTAATTAGCGTATGACAGGTTGCCATTAAAGACCTTCTGTTCGCAGAGCCACTCACTCTCACAGCTGCTTGTCCTGTGCACATAGATACTCACACTCATTACAGGGGTTATTAGTGTAGATTATTATTGTTTTTGTCTGTATTAATTAAGCACTGGCACAAGCACCCTTGGGTCAGTCCACGTTTGCCTGCCCTTGTGCCTGTTTGGAGCTTGGAAGAAAAAGGGGGCACTTAGGTTGATGAATTAATGCAATTAAAATATAATTATCCATCAGCCGTTTATTTCATTTTTTATTTAAAATAAGCTCTCATGCTCATCGACACTCACAGGAATAAGAACTGTAGGCTTTTTGTTTTTAAAGGTAGGCTGTTTCATTAACATTGCAAATGTGTGTTAATGAAGGAGTGTTTTGTTAAACGCTTTAGAAGTGTAAAGATGGCTTTCATAATACATAGAGGAGGCTAAAGCCTTTGTTTACTTGTGCTTGGCTGTAAGAGATGCTGGAATCATTTAAAATTATTCATATCTTAATTAGACTGACACAGATAAACAGGGATTATAGCATCTTGTCCACACTGTATTAAAGGTATTGTTGGTTGCAGTTTCCTCTTAATCCAGTTTTTGGGGCTGAATGAGATTGAGATTATGAGATTATTTGACATGAAATTATTTGATTAGTTAACTATTGGAAATAGTGGCTATTATTGTTTGCACATCTGGGCTGATAACTGTTCTTGGCCATGACCATCGTACCGTTGACTTCCTCCTGGAGGATTGGCCCTGTAATAAATGTAGCATAAACTTACCAAGATAAAGGCATTTAGCTAAATACGTTTCCCCCCCCCCCCCCTAAGTTTAGGTGACGAAGAAACGTGAAAGCTTTTTCACAGCTTTTGGCATCCGAGTGACTGTATGATGTCAGAGTTTGGTTTGTTTAGTTTGTGTGAAAGCTGATTTCTGAACTTGCAGTGGAAACCAAGTAGTTGAGCCAGTGTCATAACAGCCTAAAATGTAATAGATTTATTAGTGTCTCAGGTTTCTTTTTAACGCAAGCTATGTGACCGTACTGTTCACTGTGAACTATTGAGGTCATGTTTGGCATGAAGCAGTTTAAGAGTTCTCTATTTGAAAACAGCCTGAAAAGGACGAGAAATGTGTTTTGAAAATCAAAAATAAAAAATGTTATGTATTCACATGTTATACATTGGATACTACAGGCATTATGGGTTATAGGTAATGTATACAAAGTGTATTTTCTAATGTGACAACATATTCATTCAGCATCTTTAAAGGGATAGTTCACCCATAAATGGAAATCCTCATTTACTCATAACCTGTATGAGTTTCTTTCTTCTGTTGGACACAAAATAATATACTCCATTGACTTCCATAGTATGGAAAAAAATACTATGGAAGTCAATGGGGCCCATCAACTATTTGGGTACAGACATTCTTCCAAATATCTTATTTTATGTCTAACAGAAGAAACAAACTCATACAGGTTATCAACAACTTGAGGGTGAGTAAATGATGACAGAATTTTCATTTTTTGGTGAACTATCCCTTTAAGGTTAATATGAAATATCTACAGGCTCACTACTTAAGTCTTAAAACAAATGCATCTAATAGTCAGTTAAGTATGTACTGTAGCAAACAGTGTACCTTGAAGTAAAGTGCATGTTTAAATGACTAAATTGGAAGAAGATCGCGTGTTGTGTTTTGGAGATTAAGTCAACATTTGTACAGCCCTAATGAGAGCACAATAGCAGGGTTTGAATGAATGTCTAGCTGTATTACAAGTGACTTAAATAGGTTAAATGAAAGCCCTTTCGTTAGTAAGCGTGTTAAGCCATATTAGTTTTCACTATTATTATTTATTTTGAGCCATGTTATTGCATTTTATTTATCCCAGGTTCACCCTAATCGGTGGAAACTGACGGAGCGTGCCTCAAGCGCGCGGCGGGCTAGACAGAGTGAAACGGGTTACCTGGGTCGGGCCAGCGATCTGTCACTGTCGCGTTAAAAAGGTTTGGGTCTAATAATGGCGTTTGGGATGAGGCAGACTGATAAATCAGGTGTGAATTGAGTGGACAGCTCTCTTTGATTGATACACTGACAGGATATGAGCAAGTGCCATACCAGATAGAGAATATGAGAACGGGAAAGAGAAGAAAAGGATAGAGCCTAAGATCCAAGGAGTGGAGGATATTATTCTGAGAATGAGAACAATAACTGCGGCATGGAAATATTGCAGGAAAGAAGATTAGGGCAGTTCAGTTGGGCATATTACACTCCTTGGCCGCCATAAAAAAATAAACAAGTATTGCAAGAGAAAAGCATAAAGTTAGAAACGTGTGGATTCTGGTGTGCGGTTCAGTGTTCACCACTCCGCTCTGAGTAGTCAGAAAATAAAGATGAACCGAGCGGGTACCCATAGAGACTCAGTCTTTCCCCCTTGACATGTAAAACAGACACGAGGAGCTGATAAACCATTAGACGTTAATATCTATTCCCTTTGATCAAGTTTGGCAGCTCATTCAGCCAGGGTACTACTGGGAACCAAATGCTGTTGAATGCATTTCTCTTGCATTATACAGTGGGTTGGTAACTGTAATTGACGCGCATGGGGAATGCACTAAATAGTTACGCTACTTCTGCACATGGCATGTTAGCGCAAATACAAGCATCTTATTCTCTAACAATTGCGCAGCGTCTTAAATACTTCAAGTAAGTCATTGACGTTCCTTTCTGCACAAACACGCCTATACTTAAATAGTTTAATTCATAAAAAGTGCCCCGATCAAGGTGATAAATAAACATAGCATGTATAAAAATATATAATTTGCATATATAAAAAGAGATGTTTGAGTGCTGAAGCAGGTGCTTTTATATATTCTGCCCCATACAGGGCTCTACACTTACATTTATTTTTCTGAGCACTTGGGCTGCTAATTTAAAACATTTAGGAGCACCTTCTGATCAGTGACAGAAATTAACCTTCCCGTTATGAGGCGATATTTGACTCTTTAAAATCACTTGCCGGGGCATTTTTTTTTACCTTTGTAATGGCATTTTTTCTAACCTCTAAATGTGTCATATTTTACATCAAATTCGCACATTTATAAATTGAGTTAAGACACAATCAGGAAGAATAAGTTTCCAATCAAATGAAATCAGTGTCAACAAAATCAAAGACATTTTTTGATACTCGATGGTATCGAGGCAATTCGGTCTGTGCTTAAAAAGTATCTCTGCCTAACTCGATACCCAGCCCTAGAAAGGAAAGAACTGCACTAA